AAAATTCTTACAAGCAAGTAGTTGCGTTGACCCTGATGTCTTTCGGGGGAAGCCGAACGAAAACTTCAAAGAATTTTTGAAGATTCCGAAGGAAATATGGTCCGTTAGGGTACGCTGATAGGACACTATTAGAAATTCTGGGAGACGACCACTTGGGTGAAAAGGCCAAAAATGTATTCTTGGCAATCCCACAAGAGAAGTTAGAGGAAGGGTTCGAAGCGGTAGTAAAAGAATTGGAAAGGCTTCTTTCAAGCGATTCAACGGCTGCTAGAATGAGAGCATTGAATGAGCTACGGAACTTGAAATTGAGGCCAAATCAGTCCATCTCTGAATTCTGTGTGGTGTTAGAGAAATTGGCTCGCAAAGCGAACCCTAACAGTAGTGTGACAGAAAGGTCGTTAGAGTACGCGCAGATACTGTTGGATAACGTGAGAGAGTGGCCGGAACACGTACAGTTATTGAGTCTCCTGCATAGATCAGACCCCGGTAACGCGTATAACGAGATCAAACAATTAGCGATCACTATAGAGCAAGCAAGGACAATGTATGGGACACCCCGAAAGAGCACGCCGACAGGTACGGAGTGGAAAAAGAGGGCACAGGCATACAAAAGCCATAGGGAAAGTGATCGGTTCAGATCCGCCCAACACTGAAGAACACCAGAGGGGCTATGTAGATGAAAAGAAGGAGGATGTTGAGACTCGCAAGTGTTTTAACTGTTCAAAACTAGGACATATTGCTCGGAACTGCCCGCTAAGAAGACCCGTAGTCAATAATAGAGTGGAGAAACCAGCAAAAACGAAGGACAACAAGGAAGGGACGCGGATCTCTGATCTGATGCGTCAAGCGAGATCGATGGGAATGGTGGTAGAGAAGGGTTCTGCTGAAACTGACCTAGTCGGAGAGAAGTCGACAGCATGGGTAAGCATGATGAATGAAAGAGTTTCGGCGCTGATTGACACAGGATCAATGGTAAGCATTGTTCCAGTAGGCCTCCTGGCTAGAGCACAGAAAAATGGATTTGACGTTGATTCCCTCACGGTAATTGATCAGAAAACGCTCGATCCTGTATATGATGCCTCCAACAACCGCATGCAATTCCTGGGTGGAGTTGTTATAGGAGTGAAGATTGAAGGCGGAGCTGAATATGAAGTTGCCTTCTACATATCGAATGACAAAGGACAGGAGGTGTTGCTTGGAACGAACGCACTGAAAAGTTTAGGTGTACAGATCCAACTGCCTAAACCTGCCACAACCCCCACACGAAGGACAAGCCATATCGGCAAGGTTACGGTCGCAAGGAGAGCGTACATACCGCCGTACAGCTCGGCCCTGGTACAAGCCCGCTGCAATGTTGGCGAAAATCCTGTCGAACGCGTCATATGGCCAGCTTCAAACGGAATAGCTGCGGGAGTGTTTAAGATAGAAAACAATGAATGTGCGATTCCGATAATTAATGAGGGAAGCGAGCCAATGATGTTTAGAGAAGGGGATGAGATTGGGCACTGGAGTACTGATAAATGGAGAGAAGGATGGGATGAAGAATTCAAACCAACGATTTTGGAAGAAAGATGTTCCGGATTGGGGTTGCAAGCCAGAAAGCAGAAACTTTTCGAACAAATTTCGCAAAACAGATCTTCCACAGAGATCCCTGAGGATATCCGAAAACTGGTGGAAGAAAAAGGGGAAGCGTTTGCGGTGTGTGACCAAGAACTTTCGGCCACAAGTGAAGTCGAAATGGATGTGGACACAGGGGACCATCCACCCATAAAGTTAAAAGCTAGACCTGTACCTCTAGCAATGAGAGCTAAATTGAGGGAAATGCTGAATGATCTCGTATCTAGGAAAATAATCGAGAAAAGTGCATCGGCTTGGGCTTTCCCAATAGTTTTAGTAGAGAAGAAGGACGGCAGCTTAAGACTCTGTGTTGATTACCGCGAGCTAAACAAGTGCATTCGACAAGACGCATACCCGATGCCGACGATAGACGCGATGTTACAGAGCATGGCCGGTGGTATTTCCGCTGTG